TGTGCATTCATTGTTTACATGCTTACCTGTTGAAGACTGCATCTCAATTGTAACTAGAAGGCTGGAAGAAAACAACATACCCGTAGAATACGCAGTATTACTCAGACACTGCCTTACATCTGGCTACCTATTGTGGAAGGAGGAGTTCTACAAGCAAGTAGATGGTGTGGCGATGGGGTCACCTGTATCTCCCATTGTCGCCGACATACTCATGGAAGACTTTGAGGAGAAAGCCCTGCTTACTTTTCCCATAAATCCAAGATTCTACAAGCGGTACGTAGACGACACTTTCACAATTCTACCTTTAGATAAAGTAACTGCATTTTTAGACCATCTTAACTCTATAAATTATAAATTTTAGTTCACAATGGAGTTACAGGCAAACAATTATTTAGATTTTCTAGATGTGTTAGTAATTCGGAATCCTGATAACACCTTGAGCCATACTGTGTACAGAAAAAAGACCCATACAGATAGATATTTAAACGGTGATTCTCACCACCATCCTCCACAGTTAGCTACTGTGGGTAAATCTTTGTTTTAGAGAGCACGAGGGATCTGTAAACACCTGGCTGCCGAGCTCCACCATGTCAAGCAAGTTTTGCATGACAACAAGCTTCGGGTCCCGCGCCTACGTCACAGTGAACGAGTGAAGCCGGCCACAGTTGAGCGTGTACCTGCTGTACTGCCATATGTTAGAGGAGTCACTGACAAGATTGGCTACATCTTGAAGCGCGCTTCCATCAAAACATACTTCAAGCCGCCGAAGAAGATTGGTCAGTTTTTACCATCAGTCAAGTGTAACGTCCCTCTGCAAGATGCAGGAGAATACAAGCTTGATTGTGAGTGTGGTCTCTCCTACATAGGACAAACTAAAATATCAATTAAAACCCGCGTTAAAGAACATATAGCTGATGTGAAGAATCGACGCTCCGGGAAGTCTGCAGTCTGTGAACAGATACAGGATCGCCCCCGTCACTACATCAGATTTGATAGACCACAAATCCTCGCTAAAGAACACCGATTCCTTCCAAGGATGATTCGCGAGGCTATTGAAATCAAAAAACATCCTAATTTCAATAGAGAAGGTGACTGGGTGCTACCATTTGCTTGGGATCCTATAATAAATAAAATTAAATCCCAACCCAAGCACACAACTGCAAGACTTCAAGATACCATAAGTTCATACTGTGTAGATCGGAACAAAAGTTAAATTTTTATCTATGATAACCGCTGTTAACTATGACATTTGGACGTTGAACAACTCAGTCCCCCCCCCCTCCGTGACCATGGGTGCTGTAAAGCGCTCGAAACGTCGGGTATTTATAGTTAAATATACGCGATAAAATCCGTAAAAACTAGTATTATTTCAATGTGTAGTGTTCGCGTAAATATAAGAAATCATTATATAATATACAGAACTATAAAAACTGTAGCTCGATGACTCACAATTTAGATGCCATGCATAAAAGGCCATAGTTTAATCAAGAGAAGTCAAAGGATAGTCCAACGAACTATCGTTTAATTTCAAATCAACACTATTCCCATTGAAAGTATCAATTTAAATGACATAAAATCACAGCGTTCAAACGTTAAAAGTAGCAAGATGATGTATTGGGTTGATATGTTTTTCCCAAGGCCAGATCTACGTAGCTTACTCACGTGTTTCTAGGGTTCAAAATTTTCACGTTTTCGAGAAGTAAAATCATTTAAAAAGCAAACCATTTAATGTAGACTAAAGACATGTATTGCAGCAGAGCGTCTTGCAAACTTTTAGTTAAATTTATTAGAAATAATTACAGTTCTAAAATATTGTGGGCTTTTAAATATATGCGAGTAGAACTGCGGGTAAAAGTTGGTTATAAATAAAGAAGATTTTTTTATTTTATAAGCTAGTAACGCCTGTAATAAGCCCTTATTACAAAAATATAAATTATCCCGCCACAACTTATCTATATAATGTTTAAAAGATCATGAGAGCTTAATTATCACAGTAGCTTTAAATTTCGTTCATTAAATATAATTCTGAAATTTTAATTTCGCTCTTCAAACTACATTAGTGCAAAACATCGACACGGTTCGGTTAATCCTAGAGAAAAATGGTTGTAAGTGCCCTCTTGAATGTTGGTTTAAGTATGCGCAAGGGCCTGTAGCAAATCATTACGGCTAACAAAAATTACTCAGCAAATAGAACTACTTCAGGCACCTCCGTTAGTTTCTTCATTACATCTTCAAGTGAAACGAAAAGTTATGATGGGACTTTTTCATCATCAAATCCATCATCCGCCCGTTGAAGACCACATCTTTACATGGGCTACTATAGTTGTACGGAGGATTTGCTTTAATCCTCACGCTTGGCAGTTAGCAAACGGATTGACCTTCGCAGTAATGAATTTTCAGAATCTCGCAGCTTTGACGCTGCTGTCC